AGCAAGCCAGCTTTGTCAGAGGAAAGTGTTGCCTTGTCCCTCAAGGCTGCTGGCTGCCACCACGGCCCTGAGAAATGGCCTGAGAACAGCAGTCAGGGCCTCGCTTTCTCGGCGCGCTCACAACGGGTGCGTGGAGAGGCCTAGGGCGCCTGGCAGACTGCCTCTTCTGCCTCCTTCCCTCCCCTTCCTGCCCTAACTCCTTTCTTTTCTAGAAAAAGGCCCAGGTAGCAGCGATGGTAATTATGAAAATCTTTGAAAGAAATGTGAATCTTTGGGGACAAATATCTCCTCTTCACAAAAATTTTCTTCAAACTGCTAGCCGTGGAATACCTGGTTTACTTTTATTAAGGGAGGTGGCAGTTTCTAGAAGGTCCTGCTAGAATCTTGTCTTCTTATCCTGGCTGCCACCCAGAGGTGCTGCCCAATTGCTTGGCTCCTTTAGAGGTGACCATGTGTCTAAATGTTCAGAAAACTGTGGTTTCTTGGGCTGTGCAACTTGACACAGTTGGTGAGCATATTCTTTTAGCTCTCGCAGGGGCCTGAAACCACAGGACGGGCGTGCTTTCCTGCACTCACTCGACCCTGGGCCAGATCTGTTTATCTTCTGTTTTACCCAGCTTGAAATTTGCTTCTAAGTGAGGGTGTAAACGACAGCGTTAAGAGTTTACCTTACGACCTTATAGTTAACAATACTGCATTGTATATTTGAAAGTGGCCAAAAGAGTAGATCTTCAAAGTTCTCATCACAAGAAAAAGAATTTATAACCATCTGTGGTACACGGATATTAACTAGACTTACTGTGACAGTCATTTCTCAATATATATGTATATCAAATAATTATGTTGTGCACCTAAAATGAATACAATGTATATGTCAAATAGATCTCAATAAAAAAATAAATTAAAAAAGTAAAAGAAAAAAGAAAGTGAAGAAATCAGTCATACCATAAACTACTTTTTTGAATCAAGAATAGAGAGGTAATTTAAATATGTCACTGAGGTTAATAATCTAGGTACCTCATCAGAGTCTGTGAATAAAGCTGCATTTCGATATTAAAAAAGGTTACCTTAAAAATATAATTTCTTCTCTCTTAAATAACCAATACCTGATTCAATTATAGTAGTGACAACTATGTGTTATATCTTAAGCCCGGACAGTATTCTGGACCAGAACTCAGTTTTTCTTGTTGTGTCTGTGAGACCTCTGCAGTGAACCCTCTTTAAGGAGGAAGGGAAGGGAGTGGAGATGTTCCCTCTGCTTTCCCCAGAGCAGCTAGATTTTAAGCCAATAGAATATCCTAGGTAATTGCAAAGGCTACTGTCTTATTATATGAAGATTGGGAAAGAAGCAATTTCAGCGTATTTGACCGATGAATGACTAAGAAGAAGTGTGAGCAAGCCCCGAACTCTGAAGAAAGTTTTTAGTCATGGGCTTCCTCTCGAGGCAACCACACTTCCTTCTGTTGTGTGAAATAAGCCGTGAGGGTAGCAGAACCCCCTGATGTGAGTCCATTTCTTTCTATGACTCTGAAGATGAGGGCTGAGGGAGGCACACCTGGCCTTTTCCAAGGTTATATTTAACCATGAAAAAGAAAGCAAAAGAAATGTCTCTTGCTGAATATTTTCTTCTTGTTTCCTATGTGGGTAGCTAATTGGACCTTTTAAATTCTGTCTATAAATGATGATCTTTTATTAGTGACAATAAAAAACATCTCTAGGTTCTTAGAGTTGTTTCTAGTTACCTATGGTAATTGACCATGAATAAACACAGTGTGTTCCAGTGACATGGTCATTTGACTTTCTGCAGGGAAGTCCTCTGCTGGCCCCTGATGTGACAGAATGAATACTCATGTCTGGGACTAACGCCGAAATGAGTGAATGGGCCAAAGAGCTTGGAAGGGTATAATAGGAGGTAGATCGATTCTGTGACTCCAGAATAAGTTCGGAGGAGTATTCAGGTATAGGAAGGGCCACAGATCTTTGCCCGCTGGGTGGGGTGGCAACTGGAGTCATATTGCCTGTGGAGAAGTAATGGGCTTGATGGAGATCTCAAGGAGAGAGGACAGTGACAGGGGACGTTCTCCAAGGATCAACTGTAGATACGGCGGTCGTTGGACTGGAGTGAGATGACGAACAGATACAAGGCACATCGAGTGGTCAAGCTGCTATCCCAATTGCGAGGGAGAGGGTACAGAGTCAGGGTTAAGAGCTCGGACTTGGGGAGCACATAGATTCACAGCATCCACAGATTAGCTGGGAGCCTTTACCAAGATACTTAGTCTCTCTACACTTCACTCATCACATCTGTAAAATGGAGACAACGCTCTCACTGGATAAGGCCAGGGACCAATGAAGTGGCTTTGGCATGGCGGAGACAGCCGGCTCGGTCACTGGTAATTGTGGAACAATCCCCCTTCTCTCGCGACGTCACTGTCTCCCTTGTCGAAGTCCAGCGGTATCTTCCTACTTGCCCTATAGCTCATGGACTTTCCAGCTATCATCCCATTTGATTCCTCCACAGTCTCTTATGCATCTGACCATTCGCTTCTTACAGTTTTCTGCTCCTTTGGCTTCTGTGACACATAGCCTTTTCTGATTCGTCACACACCTCTCTGCCGTTGCTTCCACCCCCTCCTTAGCTTTCCCTCTCTCCTTCTCTCAGATCATGGTGTTCCCAGGGTCCTGACCTTGGCCTGCCTCTCCTCGGTTTGCATGATCTTCCTCATTCGCCTCATGTCACCACTAGGCTCTTGATTCCTAACCCACATCCCCAGTCCAAACTTCCTGCGTGTCATACATCAAATGATTTATGGGGCATGTACATTTGGATGTCCCAAAGGCATTTCAAAGTCGACATATCTAAAACGAGAACCGTCTTTCCCCCAAGAGTGTATTTCTCCTCTTGTGTTTTTAGTGGACCTCATCCACTCAGTCACCCAGGTGTGAAACTTGAGACTTCCTACACTGGCCCATGTTTCACGCCACAGATGACATCGGTTTCCCAGCCTGGCCACTTCTACCCTCTCAATGTGTTTTCATTCAGCTTCCTGCTCTCCATGCCCCCTGTAACTTACTGTCTCACCTCATTTTGCTCAGCGATTGCTTCCTAACTTGTCTCAGCGCCCTCACTGTGGCCTTCATTCACCCGCCGCTGCCAGAAACAAGTGAGCAAGTCAGAATGCCACTGGCCCTTAAGTGCTGACAGCACATGACCCGTGAAGCCCTTGCTGACCTTTGCTGCTCTTTCGCTCCTGCAGCCCAGTCCTCTGCCCCATCCCTGCGTCTCCCTGCAGCTCTCCTCTCTCTCCCTATCCACTCGCAGCTCCTGGCCCCTGTGCTTTTGCACATGCCTTTCCTTCTGCCTGGACATGATTTAATAGGTTGATGGATATTAGGTTCTCCGGTAGCAGCCTGTATAGAAATTCCCGTGTTGTTTTAGGCTACTTACAGGGGGCTGTTTCTTCCATAAGATAGCAGTGTGTTGGCGGAGAGATCCTGTCCTGCTCATCTTCGATCCCCAGAACCTACTATGGTCCCTGAGACAATGTGGGTGCCCACGAAGAGAAATGCCTTCTTTATTCAGAACGGGCTCTCTGCCTCAGCAGCTGACTCTTTTAGAGACTGCTCCCTGCAGGCTCCTTGTCCCTTGCAGTGCTCCTTGCCCTCTCCCGCCGCACAGGTGAAGGGCAGCTGGGTGGCTCACCGCCTTGGGGCTGGGCTGGGCTGGGCTGGGCTGGGCGGCTGCTGCCCGCGCGCCTGCGCCCTCTGCTGCTCCCGCTCCCGGCGCGTCTCTGTGCGCGTGTGTCTGTTTGGAGAGGAAGAGAGGCTTGGGTGACAGGCGAGGCGTGGGGGAAGAGTTCAGCCTGAGTCACAGTCTCATTCACTGATTTCTCCACCGCTGGACGGAGGCTGCCTGGCCAGGCGGCTGCCAACTAGTCCCGCAGCCGCACAGTCTGCACCTCCCGCGGCTCCACTCTCAGCCGGCCAGACTGACGGACGGACTCACGAGTGAGTAGCCGCGGCTTGTGCGCGCCGGCGGCCGGCGAGCGGTCCTTGGAGGTCTTGTCTCCCCGCCAGCCCCCTCCGCGGGCCATGTGTGTGCGCGTGTG